GCCTAAGAGTCTAGTTGGGCCGGGCGGGATGGAAAGGAGGCGTACTCGCTGGTCCTCCTCTCACCTATATAGAAGCCGCAAGCCGCTAAGAGTACTATGGTCGAGAGAAGAGCCCTGCACCGCTATCTCCTCGGCTAGGACTGCCGCCGGGCATGCTTAAGTGAGCACCTCGACTCCGAGCCGTATTAGCGACAGTGTTAGGATGACGAGGACGTTGTATGCGATGTATGCAGCGCCGGCCTAGCTCTCGCTCCGTCTCCCGCTCCGTCTCCCGAGCCGGCCCTCTAGTATACTAGTAGTGCGGCTATCCAGGAGAAGCGGCGCCGAGCCGACCTCGAGCTAAGCTAGTACCAGGAGGACCTGCTTACGGTTTAAGGCACGTGTCTGCTCTGCAAGGCATTCGGCGATGCTTAGGACCACGCCTTCCCTACGTGCTAGCGTCGGTTCGAGTTCTTTGAGGCTCGCAATCGTATTAAGGACCAGAAGCAAGGAGGAAGGCCGTGGATTACTCCGTACCACGCGTGCTACTAGTGCTATAATCCCCAGGCCGTCTGTCAGCGCGCGGACCCAGAGAGTAACTGCCAGAGCTGCCTCTACGCGGACATTATTATACCGCTCTACTACGGCATCTTCCACGGAGGCGGGGCCGAGCAGTGGCTAGAAGAGCAGTCTTAGCGGACGTTTACAGACGTCTACGAGTTCCTTAGGTGGTGTGGCCAGGCAGCTAGCTTCGGTAGAGGTAAGGTAATCTGGGGAGTCCGTGTAGCTGCGGCTGCTCTTATTCAATTTGAGTTATACTAGGCTAAGCATAAGGTTATAACGAAAGAAGATTTTAGAGTATAGACTAGAGTTATATTAGTTATAATTTTAGAGTATAAAATATTAAATAAAAAAGAATAAATTTCTAAAATAATATAATATTTATTTCTTTAAAAATTTAAAGTTTATATTATTTTAATATTAGTATCTAGAATATTTAGTATAAAAGCTTTTACTTTAATTTTTATTTTATTATTAACTATTAGTTTTATTATTGTGGCAGGGCTAGCTCTTTTTGGTCCTTTTGGCGCTGACCGGCACGTGTGGTTGAGGAGGAGGCTAGCCCGGGAACGCTAGTCTTCCCTAGCACTATACTCAACTAGGTCTAGTTTATCATGTGACGCTTCCTATATATTGTGGTCGCGCACTCTTAGAATAACAACAACTCTTCTCCCACTCTTAGTTTTTACAGTGATATGCTTTCGAATGCTTTTTATGATGTTTTAAACCTATTCTACTACTGCGAATAGTGGTCTGCTTCGCGCAGTGCCTACTTGTTGTTGTTTTGGTTGTTTTCGCGTACTGCTGGTTCATGTTCTTACCCCCTCTACATTATGGTGACCTACGCAGGGAGATTGCACTCAAAGTGAGGTTATTCCCAGCATTTAGGGACACCTCGGCAGTCTACAGAACCAGTGGTTTAGTGTGGGGTTTGACAAATGCCGTTGTTTTGATTTTTTGAGAGTGTTAAATGAGTTTTGGATCACATTAGAATGTTTTGAGAATGTGTTGAGCTGCTAAAAGACTTGATTTGATTTCCAAAGACCTAATTCCACGCGCCAAGAGGCTGTGGAGCCAAGGGTTGAGAGAATGGCGGCGAATCTCAGCAGGAAGAGAGTGCCGAGTGCGGCACAACAACAACCACCAGCGCCAAGAAAAGAGAGTTCGCATCCCTTGCGAGGAGGGAAACTGCTTGCTCGGACGTTGGGATCATACCCGAAGGGATGGGCGGAAGTGATAGTGGAAATCGATAAAATTGCAATCTCAGTTTGCGTTTTGGTCCTTACCACTTTGAGAGTATTGATCTAGTTACCCCTTGCCTTGGTAGCTTGCGTGGACGCAACAATATCCTACTTCCAGTATGGTGACCAAGATACGAGTGTCTCGGAAATCATGGAACCGGTGGATTTAATAAAGTATGAGCTCGAAATGGAGTTGAAGTAAGGAGTAGTGTCCTCGGCAGTAGGGAAGAAAGCGCAAGGAGTAGCTACCCCTGGCGAAAATACGAACCCTAACGGAATGAGAAGGCCCTCAAAACCTTTTGTCCGCCTCAAAGCTTATCGAAGCGTCGATATGAGCACTTCCGGCAAGAACGAGAAATCAGAGAGACTTCCCAAAAGACCCAGCCCTACTCGACACGCACACAAAAGAAATTTGAGCAGTCCTGCTGGTGCTTCTACTCAACCTTCAGCTCCTCAGCGCGCGACATCTTACTCTCCTGCGAACTTCGATTTGCTCGTTAATTCCTCTGAGATACCGAATACGACCGAACTACCTTCATCCGACAGTT